TGGGAGTCTGGAGTTGGAGGTGCTCACAGGAGACCCTTCCACTGAGGTGGGATCAAGCTGCAAAGTAATGGAAGCTTGCTTCTTTGCCCTTTAGGCTGAGGGGGCTCATCTTGAACATTTCTTCTGGGGTAGCGCTCTGCCCATGGCCTCTGTACACTCTTTACTCGGCTTCCAAGGTGAGTGATCAGCTGTCCGCGCCTCTCCCTTCTTCTGCTGGGGAGCGGGGGTGTCCCAGTTGGTGCTCTGCTTGGGATGCTCTGGCCGGTTGATGGAGCGTTACCTGGAGGCAGTCTCAGAGGTACAGGGTGAGCTAGCCAATGGGGAGTCTGTATGCAAATTATAAAGACACGCCCCCTCTGCGCAGCCAGCCCAGGGGCTGAGCCCAAGRGCCTCCTAGACCGGGGGTCCTGGCTCACTTCCCACTGACCCCGGTGACTTCCTAGCCCTGGTCACAAAAACAGCCCTGGGATAGCACGTGCCTTACCAGGAAGAGCATCCGCAGGAATTTAATCGGTTTACAGTGGCCCTGGAAATATATTCACACTAAACAGCCTCAGGGATATATTATCCTAAAATACACATTCATGTTCCCGATGCTCTCAGGGCCTCTTCCGAGGTCAGGGGATGAAGTGCACGTGCCGGTCATGACAAGTCACTGCAGTTTCCTCTACTTTCTCCTCCCCTGCCCTAAATTTGTCCAGGTATAATTGATAAATAAAATCGGCGTATGATCTACAGCCTGGGGCATATGCTTTGATGAGTGCACAGAGTGTGACATGATTGTTAGCGTAACCTTGACCTCATGTACTTATTGTTCTGCGGGGAGAACACTGAAGATCTACTCTCTTAGCAACTTTCAAGTATATAATACGCTGTGTTGTACAACAGATCTCTGAAATCTTTATCCTACGGAATGAAAATTCCTGCCCTTGGACCCACATCTCCTCCAGGCAGGCTGTATCTCTGCAGCATAGCGTCTCTGTGGGGCCCCTTGAAATCCGAGCAAGTTGGTTATAAACAGAGGGGACAAGCCCTGGAACCTTACGTGATTCCTTTTCTTACTACAGGCTTTTGTGTGCACATTTTCCAAGGCACTGCAAGCGGAATACAGAGCAAAAGGAATCATCATCCAGGTGAAGTAGAGAGCTGTCGTCCTTGGGAGAGGAAGTTCTGGCCCTCTGTGGGGCAGGGGCCACTACTCCTGCAGGACTGGCTGTGCATATGCAGCCAGTTGGGAGGTGGACTGGGTAGATGCTATGGGGGTTCCTGTGATGTTGCTGGAGCAGCTGCAGCCACTGTGATCCCACTTRCTGCTGTGGTTTCTGCTGCCCTCACTTGTGCCCTGGGTGCTGGGGAAGGAAATGAGGCAGGGATGTGGTTGCTCAAAAACGCTGTGGCCCCCCTTGCCACCTCATGCTGCGTCAGAACAGAAATGGGGCTCTGGTCTGACCACCGTTTCTTCTCTGACTCAGATTCACAAGGTGGGCTCACATGAGAGGAACTGTGGAGATGGAACAAGGGAAAGCTGGGTACTTGGTCCACTAGAGGGCAGGGGAGGGTCTTCCCCCAAGGGCTGCTGATCTGTGATGGACCCCAGAGACCCTTCATTCTGGTCTCGGGCAGGGAGAGAAGGGCCATCCTGGAGATCCCCTGCCTCCACCTCAACAGGGCTGGGTGGCCGCTGCCCTCTGCAGACCGAACGAGTGACATTCTGAGGTGYYKATGACCTACASGAGCTTGGTTCAGAGTTCAGGGRTTTCTAGAACCTAAACACACAGAGGTGTTTACTTTGTRTYGTTTTGTYRTTGTTGTCCGGGAAGAGGTTGGGTGACATCATCATGGCTGCACCCAGTGGTTTTAGATGAAGTTCCCGAGGTGGGAGCATGTCAGCAAACCAGGAATGGAATAAAGCTCATGACCCAGGCGATGTGTCGATGGTAGGAATTTGGACAAACACAACATTTTCCTGGCCATAGTGCGTGATTGTGACTGCAGTGTCCCTGTACCACAGTCCCCTTCTCTGCCCTGTGAGCCCGTCTCACCATGGGGGGGGTCTTTCTCCCCCACCTGGGGCTGTCCACTCTGACTCCCAGTGGGGCTGCCACTTCCCTTTGCAACAGAGCTTCTCCACTCTGGCTAAGTTTGCCGCAGTCAAGAACAACCCCTGAAATCTCCATTCTGCATTATGCTCCCCACTTACTGGGAACCGGCAGAAGGCACAGCTCATTGTATTAATGATGGGCAGCTGCCATCTTGAATGCTGTCATTTGACCCATCAGAGTTGATGTAGCCTGGATTCTACAAGATCTTGCTTTGGCAATTAAGTGCTGTGGCCCGGAAGTGACACGTGGCATTTCTGCTCACACCTTACTGGCCAGATCCCGTAACATGATCTTACTCCAGGAGGTTCAATTCCAGCATGTGTCTGGGAGGAGAAAGAAGAGAAATCCTTGGTGACGTCTTTTGTTTGGCACTGGGGATTGAATCCAGAGGTCTTTAACCACTGAGCCACATCCCCAGCCCTTTTTTTGTATTTTATTTAGAGACAGGGTCTCAGTGAGTTGCTTGGGGCCTTGCTAAGTTGCTGAGGCTGGCTTTGAACTTGCGATCGATCCCCCTGCCTCAGCCTCCCGAGCTGCTGGGATTCCAGGCACGCGCCACTGTGCCCAGCCTTGGTCATTTCTAAACATGAACGATTGCCCTAGCCACCTGCTGCTCCTTAGCTACGTGACACTCAGCATCAACTTGATCTTGATTCTCGTGGACCAGAGGTACTGCAGCTGCCCCAGCTGGGTTCAACAAGGCAAGGGAGTGGGAGGAGATGGGGTGGGAGAAAGGTGCGTTTTCCCTGATGCAAACCCCAGAGCTGTCCTCCTAGCAAGTGTGAGAAGGCAAAAGAGCTGTGATCTTTCAAAACCCACAGGCTTCTCTAGGGTTGGTGCTCAATAAATGTGTGTCAACTCAGTGTGGACCTGTGTACCACAGGCGTGGGTTTAAATCCGACCCCTGTTCTGCTCTTACCTACCACCTGTGCAAGTCTTAGCTCACTTAAAATCTGAGAGCCTCAGTTTCCCATCCATCAACAGGTTTATAATAGCGCCCGATTTCTCTGGATTAATCACGAAGATCTAATGACTAAGTAAATGTGCAAGTTTAACCGTATTTACTGAGCTCCTCTTTTGTACGCCTTTCCGTACCAAACTCACTGTAGGAATGAAAACACTTTCTACTATTTCCCTATCTGAAGTCTGGGTTTGACAGTGCTCCTGATATTTCCCAAAGAGGAACATTTTGAGGTCCCTGGATGAAAAGTGTCAAATTAATCACAGCATTGATTTCCATAAGAACCAATTCAATTGGATGGGTGGACACATAATCATGTTCAGTTATAAAACAAGGTGATTTCAGATGGGATGAGAAGGAAAATAAAACTGGGAACACTAGCCTGGATTTTTTTCCTTCTAAAGATGCCAGGGTCTCTGATTCTGGGGGGAAGTCACAAAACCCCAGATTGGGTCCTCACGCCAGGAGCAACGGCTGTGGACTCCAGGGCGCACACTTTACTCTTCTTACTTCGAGAGGAGAGATCATGACATTCGTGCAGATCATGGTGCCAAAGTGGGGTGTGGGAGTGGGAATCCAACATGCTTTAAGTTCTTCAACTTTGGTTACACGGAATAGAAATGATCTTCTGAGATGAATATCTCATATTTCTGACGAAATAGCCAACATCCAGTTCAATTTGAATTTCAGAGGAGTACGAATGATATTTTGCAGTAAGTGTGTCCCATGCCACGCGTACATGATCACGCTGAAGTTTATTGGTTGTCGGCCTGGACTTTAGCGTTTCCTGTGTTTTCACTTGCTGAGTCCACTCTGTTCTCTRAGAGCTCCTGTCCCCTCTCGGTCACCCTGTGTGCTGCAGCAGGAATTTGAGCCACGTAGCATTGTGTGATGACAGCTCATGGGAAGTCAACCTTCCTGGTTCCCAGCTTTGTGCTGGTTCTACACCTTTTATATTTAAGGATCCTAAACTGTTTATGGGAAGAGAAAAGTTGGGAGATGGTGGGTGGTAAAGGGGGTGTGGACGGAGCCTTCTGGGTCATGCACGCTTCTGTCTTTATCTCACCCTGTAGGTGCTGACCCCCTACGCGGTTTCCACCCCGATGACCAAGCATCTGAATACCAACATGGTCACCAAGAGGGCCGATGAGTTTGTTAGAGAATCACTGAATTACATCACGGTGGGAGATGAGACCTGTGGCTGCCTGGCCCATGAAGTCTTGGTAACCCACTACTTCTTCTCTCCTTGAAACCAGACAGGAGGGAGGTGCGGGGTGTGGCTGGTCTTCCTTGCTGTTGGGACACTCAGCCCTTCTCTCTCATGGCACCCACATGAGGCCAATGGCTGTGCTGCCACATGRTCACAGCCAGTGAACGGGAGTCTGTGGCGAGGAGGGGACAGGCTGGAGGCCTGGCTGCTCAGTCCTCGGGGAGCCCAAAGCTCCTTGGACGCCTCGCTTTTCCCCTTGGGATGGAAGAGTCTCCCAGGAGCTCTTGGGTAAAAAGGACCAGGACTCCCGGAGCTTCCACACGGGGGCTGCTCTCTTCCTCGGCTCTCTGTTCTAGTCCACACGGAACTCTCAGCCCTCCAGGGCAAAGAGAGGAGGGCCTTTGTGACTTGCATCATTGGCCGATGTCCGTGGTATAAATATCCCACCGTGACTATCAAGCASGTGAACGGAGGAGACGTGCACACCGTCAGCCCCTGTGAGCGTGCACGCCTCAGTCCAGCCTGCCTCGAACCCCGTACGATATGAAAATGAGGTTCATGGCATGTGGCACTGGGGTGCTTTCCATTTCTGGGCTGCAAGACCAACATAAAAAGCCAAAGGAGACTGAGCATTGCGACTGATACTGAAACACACGTGCACACACACACACACACACACACACACTCACATAGACTCACACGTGCACACACACACAGATTCACACACACTCA